GTTGCTCGAACACCCCCCACAGTAACAAGCGTTTCCGTGCGGTTTCGGAGCATTAAGAACGAGGAACGATCAAGAGTCAAAGACGAGTAAAAGAGCGCAAGGAAGGAAGGAAGGAGCAAGGAAGATGGCTCTCGTTCCAATTTTCCTGCGGCCAAAATCAATCGTAACATCCGTGTTTCTTGACTCTAAGGCATTTCAAAAAGAAAACTGAAAAGAGCGTTTAAAAAGAGCCTAAAACGTTTACACTCTTGTATCGGTATTGTAAGATGACTAAGATGTCATAGGTAAACATTTTAATTCATGATATCAGTAACCTTAGCGGCGGCCATTTTTCTTTTAGGAATCCAAGTGGAGCAGATGCAAGAAGCTTATATCTGGAGAGGAAAAAATCACTGAAACGAATCAAATCTCATCGAATGACTCAGAAATTCTGACTATCTTTCGGCCTGATCAAGATTGCCCGAGAGTTTTAGAAACTCGTTTTGTTCAAGCTGACGTGTCAAAAGAAGAAAAGGAGCTTCCGATCGCTTTTGGTCTCACTGTTCATAAAGGTTCACGTCTGCTCGATCGAATTCTACGAGCAATTTACATGCCAAACAATGTCTACTGCATCCACATCGACAAGAAATCCTCAGAGGTCTTCCGTAAAGCAATTCAGGCCATTATACGCTGCCTTCCAAACGTTTTCATCGCAGCAAACAGTGTTGACGTCATATGGGGACATATTTCTGTAGTTAAAGCTCAATTTAGTTGCATGGAAGAGCTTTTGAAATCACAAGTTAAATGGAAATATTACATTAGTTTAGTTGGACAGGATTTTCCGCTTTATGATAACAAGCAGATTGTAAAAGCATTACAAGGTTTAAACAATACCAACAACATAGGAAGTTTTCCAATGATGGGCAATCCTGAATTCTCCCACCGAACGGAATTTGTTTACATATTAAAACAAAACCACAAAATGTACAGAACAAATAAGCCAAAAGGGCCGCCACCACACAATATTACAATCTGTAAAGGATCAACACATATTATTGCTATAAGAGAATTCGTCGAGTTTGCTCTTCATGGTCAAATAGGAAAAGACTTCTATGAATTCCTAAAAGATTCTCTAATACCGGATGAAACGATATATTCATCTTTACAAAGACATCCAGGAGTTCCAGGCGGAATCAACGGAAATCAACCAACATGGATAGCAAGGGCCATGTATTGGAGTAAGAAGAAAACCAGTGAAGTTTGTCGTGGGAAAGTGGTGCGACAGCTTTGTTGGATTACCTTCCAAGATTTAAGCTGGGCGCTTGGACAAGAAAACAAAGACAAACTTTTTGTTCATAAGATTCCGTTTAACTTTAACGAGGAATTAATAGAATGCATTCTCTTGGCAAGGCAAGGAAGGAAGTACGGCACTGCAGTGTGGAAGGCCAATAGTAGAGACCTTTAGATTCTAGGACGAGAACGACTTCGAGTACGCAGATTTTAAACTTAAAGTTTGTTCGCGTATTCCCAAAAAACAGGGACCGCGGAGCAAAGTGAAAAGTGGGAGGGCTGACAATTGAAAATAATTTTTTTATATTGAAAATCGAAAAAAGGAATAAAATCATAGTATTTGATTTGTTTCTGTCGCGTGACTTTGCATACTTTATCCAGTATTTGTTGCTCTTTATAGGTCGGCCTTAGTGAAGATACCGAAATTCTTCATACGATTTTCATTCCGTCCAGCAAATGTGTTTTCTAGTACTGGTTAAACTCAAACTCACCATTTTCCGGCACTACAAGTAGTTGTCGTCTTTTCTGCAGAGCTTACAGACTTTGACGAAGTCCCAGATAACTCTAATAAACGACCAACATACACCGTCAGTTCAGATTCAATGCAAGAAAAGATGCGATTACAATTTTAGTATAGAAAATACTACACTGAAGTGATCTGAAAAAAATTTCTAACTATGGCCGTTCACTGTTCAAGTAATGTATTCTTCTTGCCATCGAATATTTCATTGATTCGAAAGGAGAAAGACAAAATATAAAACTTTTATCAACTCAAAACAACTACTCACCTTCGTTTGGCTTGAAAAGGCTAGTAATTTTCTTCATTTCGTCTGATAAAACTGATAAAAAACTCTGTCGGAGCTGGAAGTACAAAACACGCTGCCGAACGAAGCGAAGGGGTGGCCAAGTTGGCCAAGGCATGGCATTCGATCAAGGGGCAAGTCGGCCCCAGGGCACAATTACCGCGAAAAGCACAGCGCAAAAATGCCTGACGTTTGAAATTAAAGAAAATACAGAGAATATAGCGGAATATAGACGGAAAAAAACTTGTTTCTATTTTTTTTTATTTTAATTATTTTTCTTTTTAGCGCAAAAAGTTGGGGCGGGGGCGCAAAAAAGTGGTGGGACCGCGGCCCTAGCAGCCCCTCCCCCTCCGCGGTCCCTGAATAATATACACCCTGGATAGCTTCATTGTACATCATTTTCACCAAGAAAATTGGCAATGACCCTGATTGAGGGAGGTTAAGCTATCTCCCAGCCGCAAAATAATAAAACCTATAACACTTTATAACTTGTGTCCACTAACACGACATTCTCGCTAAAACTCGTAGCAGGATGACGATGACTATCACATTTTCCCGCCAAAATGACGCTGGTTTACGAGAGCTTACTACTTAGTATCACTTAGTATGGAGAAAATCTCGTACTCGTCGTAGAATCTAAAGGCCACTAGTGTTTACTAGTCGATTACAAACGCACCAACGGTAAAGGCGAATGGTCGTTTGAATACTGCGGGGGAAAATAACATAGGACATGAAAGGACTTCTGAAAAAAAAAAAAAGAAATCAAAAAATGGCAGGTTTGGACTAATTGTTAACTGTTAATTCAACGGATAAAGTGGAACGCCGTTTTCACACTATACTAGAACTAAAATATTGCCGAATAGGTTTGCGAAGCTTACAAGAACTCGAAGTATAAATTATTGACGTCTTTAACGTACTCAATTTGAATATGAAGCACGCTTGCGCTATTCTGTCTACATACATGCCACGCATGCGTAAGAGCAACCTGGGGATTAGGATTGCGGGCTCTTCTTGTTGACCGGTTAATTTAATACAATGCCATTTGGAGTGCGTTTATTTTTTATATAGACACTGTCCACCTAGACTAGCCTTCGCTATTTGTAGGCAGTGAGAAAATAAGATTGTAAATATCTGAATAAACCAATAAATGAACCGAAATGAAAATGAAATGAATTTTTTATTATTATAGCGCGCACTTAAAGCAGTATGCGTCAATGTCTACGTGGCTATATATTTTTTTTTTACCTCACAGTTATGTTTTTGTCTTGAAACTGAGAGAAAGTTTATTTTAATCAAGTCGCGAACTGAGATAACAGTACAAAAGATTGTAAAAAATCGATACTGAGGTGCCGAAAAACTGCCGAACTGGGGTGACTGGGATGTCCCTTGTCAGGTAGATGAACCAACTAAAAACCTAATTATTCATCGCTTTACAAATCTTTACATTCCCACTAGCCTGTTCCAGGCTCCGAGATAGTGGTGAAAGTGAAAAGTCGTTCAAAAATAAGAAAACGCGCGGGGGCTGAGGAGAGACGGGGCGGCCACCGCCCCCTTTCCCAGGTCGCGCGCGTCTTATTTTCGCTTTGCTCGTTTATTACGTCCCCACTATACTATCTGAGAGCCTGGCACAGGCTACATCCCCACATGCTGCAAAACCATGTCATAGTAATCAGGCCACTCCGAGTTCCCCCGGGCCTCTGTATCAAAACGAGGTTAAGTGCTCAGCCTATGATATGGAAATGATTTTTCATTCTCATGCAAATAAAACTCATGTCCACAAGAAAAGTTGTGCACTTGGCCTCCTTTTTGAAGGTGAAGTTTTTTGGAACTCCGAGGGAAGTGGCCTATTGCTTGAGTCAGATTTTATAGCCTTCATCAACATTCTTCTCATTCAAAATACTCACTTGAAAACTCCTTTGTTCGTATGCAAATTGACTCTTTTCAACTCAGTGAATAAATCAAACATCGTTTGTTTACTGGCTTAAAAAAGAGCGCTGACAAAGCATAAGGACTAATGGAAGAATGGTTCCCTGTGCAATAAGATAACGGTATGTCCTCGGTCTGGCACGAAACATAGCTTACTGGTGCGCCTGTAACTAGTGGCTGATCGAAAAGAAATTCACCAGTCACAATTTATAAACAAATACGCTAAACGACTTAATTTATTCACATGGTATATTAATTGATCATTCTAAAATCATTTACATTTCATCATTCCTCGCACAGCGTTGACCAAGGCTACAGATTTTCAGGCATGGAACACAATATTGCCGAAGACAAATTTGACGAAAACGAACACGAGAAGTCTACAGAGAACCATACTGAACCAACTATCACAATTGTAGCGTTTTTCGCTTTCGGTTTTATTTTATACACCGTGTATTCTCTTCTAATCGCTGCAGCTGAAGACATCTTGAAAGGCAGCGACATACCTACTTCGGCGGTGATATCGTGTATTATCGGACCATACGTGTTGATAACTTTTGTATGTCCTTATTTTGTACAAAAGATCCCGTATCTACCTCGAATAATCGTGGTCTTTGTCCTCTATGAAGTCGGTTTGTTCAGTCTGGTTTATGTGAGGCGCGTGGGA